AACAAACAGTATTGTGAAACATCAGGGACCTTTGAAACAAAGGAAACATCTTTCACCACACACACAGCACTGTCTTCTGTACCAGATCTGCCTCCCTCCCCACAAATGCAACATTCACTCCTGAGAATCTAAGTCTGGAGAGAGTTTGGGTTTTTCATTTAGTTTGATGCTTTTGAGACAGCATTATTTACCAGAGATGCATCTGCACATAATAGCTTGGGCCATTTGGGGTAAAAGTGAGAAGTGTGTCCTGGAGGGAATGTAACTCTGTGCTGGGATAGGAATAGGGGTGATGGTGGTTTTCTTCACAGAGAAACAACAATGAGAAGGAATGAACAGGGTAATAATTGACTTTCTTGGCACTTTCCTACAAGAGTCACATATTCCACATTTAAAAGCCCTGGGAGGCCTTTCTTCTGGTTTGTTTTTTTGTTTGTTTGTTTTTGTTTGTTTGTTTGTTAGTTTGTTTTGAATGTGAAATGTGGCTGTAATGAACACTGAGTCTTCCACAGAAAACAGCTGGACAGCAGCAGCTCATTTTGGAAAGCACATCCCCTCCTTTTTCCTTGCTCAGCTGGCTCCAGGGTCTGCTTTTCAGCCCAGAGAGAGCATCCCCCTGCCCAGAGGCACCCCTGCTCCTTACCTACCCTGGAGCCACCTCTCCACTTGCACAGCTGTTGGGGCAGGGTTGAACCATGGCCTTGCCATAACGGGGTTAACCCTAAACTGGTTTGCTCAAGAGCCAGCAGCTGGAGAGGAAGCTGGCTGTGCGCCTGCCACTCACTCACAGGATGCCAGGCTGCAGGATCTGAGTGTCCCAGGAGAGGCTGTGACAAAAGGCAGACCATTGTGCCCAGCTTTCCTCCATGACTTCAAGCAAGTTTGCTTTTATTAGAAAACGGAAACCAAGCACCTTATCTAAACCCAGGGACAGGCAGCTGGGGCCCAAGGAAAGGCAGTTGCTGGGGCCTGAGGAAAGGCATTAAATAATGAGATTGAAAACCTCCGTATACATTTAGATAATGTACTTGGGAAAACACCACAGCTGCCTTGCATGAGGTGCTTGGATGAGAGACGTATATGCGGTAGAGGGAAATTTATGATGCACAAAATCTCTTGCTGAGGCTTTAGTGCCTCAAATCCTGCACTCCAGGAGTGCAGTTTTAGAAGTCTCAGACCTAGCTTGCAAAAGTTGAAATCCTCTTTGTATCTCTCCCACTCAGTCAATCCTTCTAATAATGTAAGTCCCTCAGCACTGATGCCCTTCCGTGCTGCTGGGAGGGGGAATGTAGCTCACAGACCCATGGGTGCGGGGTATCATTACAGAGCTCCCTGCTTGCACCATGTCCCCAGGACATGGGAGGGGAGCTCCAAAGTGTTCATGTGTTCTGCAAACCTAATGAGAACTCAGATGATATTTTACTTCTCCTTCTCCATAGAAAATACAGGGAGTCACCAAGCTGAAGGTTTGTGGGAATTGTCATGAGATGTATGGAAGAATGATGCAGGATAGAAATTTTGCTCAGGATTTCCTGCTTCAGGCTCTCAATTTATACCTGATATTTCAAAGCCCTTTTTAGAAAAACACCTTATCTTGACTGTGGAGGTCTTCCTTAGAAAAATTTTCATTTGATGATTGTGAATTAAAGGTGCACTCTGTGCTTCTTTATCCATTAGAACTTTTCCCTTGACCTGTCACAAGCACTTGCTGCTTACCCAGGCTGAAATTTATACTGGTGCAACCCAAAGCAAAGGAAACAAAAGAGACTCACTTCTGATGTCATAAGCTCTGCTGCCAGAAAAAAATAATGTTCAAGGCTATGCCATGTCCACATTTATCATTTTAGTAGGTCATAAACACATCTCTGTAAAGTTTAGATTAAATCCTGTGAAGGGCAACTTAAAGGATAAATTGAATTAAATAAAATCAGATTTCTACAGCTTTAGGTTGCTGAATGCTTCTCTCAGTCTCCCCTGCAGGTGCTGGATGTAACGCTTTGGATCCTTCGTGGAGTTAACTCTGTGGTGATCCATGCCCATCAATGGGATGATGCTGGTTAACACCAGATGAGGATCTCATCTATAGCTCTGTCTGTCCACTTCACATTTGGTTTCATGCTGCAGTCAGACTGTAACAGATTTCTTAAAATGCATTTAAACACACAAGAAAATGGACTAGAGCATGGTGGCACTTTCCCCAAGTCAAGGAGAACTTGGAACCTCCCTGCACATGGCATATCCAATCCAGATGTGTCTGTACATGTGGAGATGTGATGGCATGAACATCTTCAGTCCAACAGGAGTTTTGCAAGGCAGTCCTTGACTGAGGAAAATCTGCTGAAAGGCCACAGGGGCCATGGGGGCCACCTGGAGGGGAGAGCATTCCATGCGCTGTGTGTCCTGGCCATGGGGTTTGGTTACCCAGTGTTTTCCTCCCCAAGCAGGTTGTGGTTTCTGGCCTCGGGTCACAACGTCATGACCTTGTGTCATGCCAGCTCAGCCAGCTGGTTTGTGGGGGAGGAAATAAAACTTGGGTTTTATCCACATCCCTGCCCAAGCTCTGCCCCTTGGTTGCTCATGGACACTAATTATGAGGGAGGCTCTTGCTCTGCTGCTGTATAATTATGCAGAGCATAATCCAAGACTTAATATAAGGCTGAGGCCTTAATATAGCTCTGAGTGAATTGCTTTTGGTTGTCTGCTGTTCTTTGAAAATATATTTAATCTTGTACCAAACAGTGGAGCAGCCTCCTAGCAACAGAATCCATATGGAACATGAAGAGGACGCCATGCCTGGCTGGAGCTGCTGCCCAGAAGTTCTTACAGGATGTTGGTGTCTTCATGCATTTCTTGTCTTTGGGGTCTGAGCTTTGGGTTCAAGAAACTACTCCTTTCTCTACAGCAGTCAAAAATTTGCATTTGCATTGGAGCAAGGTGAGTTAGCAGATTTTGGATCATGTGTAGAGGCAGTGTAGGAGGAGGCAGGATGCTGACTTTGGTCCTGTGTTAGAAGCAGCTGCAGATTACTGGAACATCAATTTCAGTGAAGAGTGTGCCACCCTTCCCTCCATCAGAGCTCTCCTGTGTATGGTGCACTTGCCGAAAAATCGCCGCTCTCCTGGCGCGGCCCAGCCCCCGGAGCGCCAGGATGGCCAGGACGTGCTCCTTCCTGCAGAAACCAAACAAGACCTGGCTCAGATCTGGCCAGCAAAACCAGCCCAGAGGTGAGCAACCAACAGCTGTGCTGGAGACAGAGCAAGGCTACAGCAAAGTTCCAGGGTTTGATCCCTCACCACACTGGAGGAGCCACCAGGATGGAAGTCTGCAGCCTCTGGAGGTACCAAACCAGAGAGCAGCAGCTCCTGCCACACCACACTGGTAGGACAGCCTCCTGCTGCTGGTGCTGCAGGGAATTTCCTCCTCTCCACACCCGTGCTGCCCTTTGCGTGTTTTCCAGAGAGGCTGTGGGCCTTTTGTCTAATGATTATTTTGAGATGAGTAATAGAAGTGCTAATATTTAGGAAGCTGATAGGCACTAATTAGATTAAAGCTGGAAAGCCAACTTGAAAACATACCCTGTTCCAGTAATCTCAGTGTATACAAATTCAGCAACATCCCTGAGAGCTCAGGGGAAAAATTAACAGGGATCTGAACAGGAAACAATGCAGGTCCAGCAGGTTCCACCTCATTTTCCGAACTTCATTGTTAAAATAATGTTACTCAATAATGGAAAAGCAGAAATTAAATAAACCAAGAGGACAAGCCTTAAAACCTGGCTTGGGTCTGAGGCTAATGATGAAAAAGTACCACAAATCACAGCCTTGTAAATGGCTTTTCTGACTGGAAAATGGTTTTCAAATGACCGTCATTGATGACTAGCCATCATTTACCTTCCACATCCTTCCCAGAACAGGCACTGCCTCTTTTTCATCTTAATCTGGTCACTGGGATTAAACCTTTATTGGGGTTTATTTATTTGTTTGGTTTTATTTGTTTTTTTGTTTGTAGGGATTTTTTTTTTTTTTTTGTAAAATAGGTATGTTCACCTAGGAGATTACTCAGGAACAATTGTTCCTTTGTATGTCCCCGTCTTGAATTCCCCCACACAGATAAACCTGCAGAATATCTGAACCACCCAAGTTAAATCTAGTTATGAAAAATTTTGAACCTCAGTTTTGGGGAGAGGTGAATATATTTAATCTTTTTTTCTCAAAGTTTGAGGGTCCACTTTAGTATTAGCAATTAGTTAAATCTTACAGATTATTTTGATTGTATAAATGTCATCCAGTGCTAAAACTTTTCGTGTTCTTTGGGGCTTTTTTTCTGAAATTACTCTCATGAAATGGAATTTATTGCAATCTACACTACTGATATTCATTCTCAGTGGTTGAAAGAAGAGCTGCAGAAGAGAAGGTAACTTCTGATTTGCAGCTGCTGAGCTATGCACGGAGCTAGTCACTTTCTTTACTTTTCCAGGAGTTTTAAATTTTCCAGATGCAGCCTTGGAACAGAAAATGGAAAGTACAAAAGAAAGAATTTGTAATTTATTCCAAAATTTAATGGTTGTGTTGAGGCCATTTCAGAAATTGCAGCTGAACTGTGTCAATGGCTGCCAGACTTTGAGCTCTGGGCCTGGGAACAGAGGAAAAACTATTTGCTCCAAATCTGGAGCCTGCAAATTGGCAAACAGGGCTGATACTGGTGATGCAGTGAGAAGCAAACTGGAGCTTCACTGTGAAATAAGGTTCATTTAGACCAATAAAATAGAATTCAGTGATAGGATGCATGGGAATGGTTCAAAACTCTGTCAGGGGAGCTCTAGACTTCACGTTATAAAGCATTTTTTAATGAGATGCTGAAGCAGGCTTCCTAGAGAGGTAGTTCATGTCCCAAGCCTGTTAGTGCTCAAGAGGCATTTGGATAATTTACATTAACAGACCTTTAATAATTTACATTAACTTTTGGTCAGGCCTGAAGTGATCAGGAAGTTGGACTGGATTATCACTGTAAATCCCTTCCTAATAGCCTGAAATAGTTCCATTCCATTCCATTCCATTCCATTCCATTCCATTCCATTCCAAAATAAAAAGGCTTTGAAGGTAAGTTGTGTGCATTATATGATACAGCACACAGGGGGGGAAAAAGAAAAGGAATGCAGCCATAAAGAGAGAAAAATGACCTAAGATTCCCACTGTTGCTGGCATTCTGATCCCTAATGTGTGGCCACCAACAAAGAGAAGCTGAAGAGCTTGGCCAGGCACAGGAAGAGCTGGTGCTGTATGGGATGGAGCCAGCAGTTCTGGCATCTGCTACTTCATGTACCTGATATCTGGATAGTCCAGGCATAGCTCCTTGACATATGCCTTGATTTTGTCTTTTTTCTTCTCCCCAATGATACTGGCAATGTGATCTATGACGGGGAGGAGCCAGTCAGCATGGGAGCCCTGTGGACAAAGAATCACATGGGGACATCAGGAACAGCAGCACCTGCTAAATGCCTTTTTCCCTGCGGGGAGAGCAGGGCAGTGGGATGTACTGGAGTGAGCCAGGACTGGTGCAAGCAGGACAGACTGCCTCAGGCAGGCAGCAGGGTGCTGGGTGGCAATGGCAAGACACCCCTGGGAGTTCTGTCAGGCCTGATTCTGCACTTCTCGATGCCCACGAGACCCAAGCAAGCCAGACCCTGAGCAGGGCATTGTGGCTGTGGTCCAGCATAGTAGCAGATGCCAGAGACTTCACCTCCTACTGCCTGATAGTTTCATGTGCCTCATTCTAAGATGGGATTTAGTGCCCTGGATGCCTGACTTTCCACAAAATCCAATTAATTCAACTTTGACTTCCCTGAAAATCCCAGGCTGTTGCTGTGAGAGATGGAAATGTTAAAGGTTAATGACTCAGCCAACTGCAATCATTGTTTTTGACCAACACACCCCTAAACTACAACAATCAAGTCTTGTTGCTGGACCTACAGGTAATGATACCTTTCCTCTCTGCTATCTGCTTTTATCCTTTCTTCCTTTTCCTTATCTATTTTCTTAAGTTATATTTTTTTACTTTTATATTGCTGTATTACTGTAGGTAATAACCAAAATGGCTACATACCTCCTTTCCATTGCAATCAAATTGTTTTTAAATAAACCAGCCATATATATATACACACACACATCTGTCTCTCTCTCTACATCTATATATCTCACACCATTCATTCAGTGTTGGTGCCACTCTCATCTGGCCCAAGGGATCTATTAACAGGAACCTCAGTTACCCCACCTTCAGGGTTGGGTTGTAACAGCTGTCCAGTCACAAAACACTCAAACTGCCACCACTTTCTCCTCACACCCTGCTGTACACAGGCTGTGTACCCAGATGGAACTTCTCCTGGGACTCAACTCCATGAGCTGTATCCACAGCAGGGATCTTTTGGTGACAAATTGCATCTCATGGCCTGAGGGAGCAGGCCCAGGAAGAAGCTGCCACAGGATGAGTGTGATCCTACAGCACATGAACCACTCTATGCAAAGCTCCCTGGGAACACATTAAAACACCAGGTGCTGCCATCAGAGAGCTGCTGGCTGAACATGCACAAGCTTCCAATGCAGAGAGGCCACCAGCTGGAAACCCACACCATGAACCTGCAGTAACCACCCTGCTCACTCTCTTTTCAGCACTTCTATATTTCTTGAGGCTTGTCCTCCTCAAGAGCCTGCTGCCTGCTCTCTGTGAAGCCAAGTGGGAAAATTGCACCTCTGGGAGTGGGGCAGCCAGGGGATGCCATGAGATAACTCCCGTACCTGATCAATGAGTGAACTGTGAATGATTGCAGCTTCCAGGCTCATCTTTCTGCTCACTTGCTGACGTGTCTCCCTGTTCATTTTCCATCTGGGTTTGATGATCTGTGTGACATATTCCTTCACCACATATTTATGAACTTCATGTAGAAGCTCCTGTTTAAAAAGATGCAAACCTCATGGAGTTTTTTGTCTGTTCAAGGCCAAGGCAGTGAGAGAGGTTAGGGAAAGCCCCCAGGTGTTTGGCAGCACCTGAGGGCACAGAGGAGGTACAGGAAGGCAGCACACCATCAGCACACACTCACTCATATCTGCAGCCCCCACAGTTATAAAGAGCAACCACTGTTGCAGAGGAGTCTGCAGATCTTACCACAGCCTGAAAATGATGGTGTGGCCCCTCAGCATTCCTGTGCCCAGGTGTGGGACTGGCTGCCTACCTGTCCCAGGGGTTCCCTCATGTGCTGCAGGTGCGCGGAGAACTGCGAGACTGCTGATGCCAGAGAGTCCGGCCTTTCCACTGCCAAAATCCAGTTCTTGGTCAGGATTTTCTTAAGGAGTGGCTGAAAAAAGACAAACTCACTGATGTCACAGGTATATTCAGAGTAGCTGATGGTGCCCTAGCTGAAGGCACCCAGCTATACACCTGATCTCAGGCTTGAACTGAAAGCACAGTGCACCCCCTCTGCATGAAGACACACGAGGAGCAGGCTGGGGCTGGATTTCTCTCTCCACCCCAGGGAATTCACACCCATGTCTCCCCTTCCTGGGTAGGTGTCCCAGTGCAGAGAGGAGGAGCATCATGCCCTGAGCAGGAGATGTTTTGGCATTAAAGGCTCATTTGGGATACCTAATTTCCTTACTCTGTGCCACCTTCTGATCCACCAACTTTATTTCTTTAGGTAAATAAATTTGTTTCTCCAATGCATTGGGGAAGGTAGAGATGAGAATGTTATTCACAAGCAACTCTCAGGCATGACTAGAACAGTTGGTGGTGGGCAACAATGTATGCCAGTGTTACATGGAAACAAAAATTCACTTGGTATTGAATCTCTTGGAAATTAGCCCAGTAATCCATCACTCTACAGCCTTCTCCATAAGGAAATCAAGCTTTTTTGTGTTCACAGTCCTTCCAGTAGGCTGTCTGTATTTCTGCACATCTGCATGAAGTCTTGCTGGGATTTTTCTTCTGCTCTTGGCTTAGATGTGGTGGTGGGGGAATGGCAGCTGGGAGCAATCTCCAGCTTTATGCCTCATGGTTAGGGATGACATGTGAGTGATGGTACTGTTATCCATCTGTCCTGGGCATAAGGTACTCTGAACAAGTATCCTTAACAGGTTATTTTCTTTTGTTGGGTCCCTAGAGCTAATGTATCTTCATATAGAAACAGCAATATCTGCTAAAGACTTCTGGCACCTGGAAGACCCCACCCTACAGGTCAAATGCAAAATATCCTTCCTCTGGCATGTCCCCTTTTCTCTTCCTCACTCTCATGATCTCTGTCTTTAGACTCCTGGCAATCTCCTTCCCAATTATCTCCTCCCTTGCTGTGCTCCCAGCCTGCTGGAGAGCTGTTTAGAAATGCTCTGACTTGGCCTCTCTCAGTTCTCACGCCATTTCAGCTCCCTTGCTCAATATGTTGGCTCAGGGCCTTTCCTCATCTAATGCTTAGGCTCCAAGACAAGTTCTGCAGTCATTGGAAAGTCCCTTTGGCCAGGAGGGCTTGGCTTAGGTTGGAGAAATTCCATGACTCTCCTGGTTTCTGGAAGTTATGTTTGGGGATTTAGAAAGTGAATTAGGATAAGTGAAAAGGGGTGGGACCAAAGGCTTGATTTCCCCCATCTTTTCTATAATACCAGCTGTAGCTAGTAGACCCCAACTGGCTGAGAGCAGAAAGGCTCATCTACAGCACCTGAGAAGTACAAACTTCATTGCAGCACATTGCCTTTTAGACCTCTTAACAGAAGTCAAATTTTATCAGAATTTTATCAATTGATACAAGACTTTAGCCTTCTCATTCTAGAACAATCAGTCTTTTGTCACCATGGGAACAGCCTGGAAAAACTACCCCTACCAGAATGAATTCTGTCCTATCTGAAGAGGTTTCTGACAGACTGTGATGGCAGGTCTATGAATCAGTAAGTCAAAGTTTTGAAAAATCCAAATTATTTGATAGAAGGAAAAGTGTCCCATTGGTGGTGTTCAGCTGGCTTCTCCAGTTCTTCACTTCAGATAAAATTTTCCCCACTGCTTTGCCTGAGAGACTGGAAGCTGCTAAGTATCCTTTTCTTTTGATTGCTATTAAAACTTGAAAAGTATCATTGCTCATAGCAAAAAATTCCCAGGATGCTGGAAGTGTTGCTTTTTAAGGGGGATTTCCACAGGTGTTGAATGCATTTTGGAGGGACAATAATGTCATGTGCTGCAAAATGAGGTTCAGTTGGTGAGACAAGGGAAGAGCAATGACCCTCAGCTGCTGCACATAACCCTTACAATGAGGAAATAATGTGGCCAAGATCCTCTTACCTGTGTTTTTGTTCTTAATTTTGTTAAAAAAATATTTGTGAAGTTCCTTGTCAGAGCTGCCAAAATCTTCTGCAGTTCCTCAGTATTGACTTTAAACGCTGTTTCCAACCCTGACCTACAGAGAGACAGAGATCACCAATGAGTTAATGTTAAAATGTAAACTATTACATGGCCCTAAGCATGTTATCTGGATTGGCATGTTGGACATTATTTTTAAATAAACTTGAGTTTCTACTACTTCCTCTTGGAAACACTGAGCCAAAGTAATGGCTCTTTTTGCACAATCCTGTACACTGAATATTAATCATAGATGAATAACTGTGGTTAAAAACCCCTTCAGATTTCCTCATCAGGTGGGCTAGTGCAGCCATGCATAGGCCAGTTCTTTTTCACTCAAGCAGCATCTCTGCAGAATTATTTCCAGGTACCTGGGAGAGAACTGAGGGCTGTGGGGGAAAAGTAAATATTAAAGCCAGAGAAGGGAAAGCTGCTGATCCTGTGTCCCTCAGAGCCTGTCTGATTCACTCCACACAATGTCTATCAGCAGCAACTGAGATGGTAACTACGGGGATGGAAACCTGTGGAATTTCCTAAGGACAGTGCATACTTCTGCAACATTTCACCTTATGAGAAAGAAAACTTCTGAGAGGCTAATGAAATTCCCAGTGTGTGTACGTGCGCTTTAGAGGCATTGTGACCTTCTAGATTTCTTTTCACTTTCCATCCCTGTCCCATGCCATCCCTTTCCATCCCTGTAACATGCTCAGCGTTGGTGAGGAGGGGAACTGAGGCAGCACCATCACAAAGACAAGCATCACCAGTGATACCTGAGCATCCTTGGATGTGCCACATCCGCTGCTGTAAACACAGAGAACAGCAGGTTCCTGTCACTGCCCAGATTTGTATGTCTGAGGCTGCCCTGGCAGGACTATAAGACACCCAACACCATCCCTGTCATCCCAGGCTGGAGCTCAGGACTGTAACTCCAGTTGAACACCTGAAAACTGGGTCCAGCATCCCAAAAAATCGTGCTGTTAGGACACCTACCTCTGCTCCACAGCTCATCAGCCCAGGGTGCTGAATGTTTAATTTGACTCAGGAATAAACCCATCACCCAAACACTTCCAGCTCCCTGCCCGGGGCTGGCGTCTCCCTTCACCCCCTCTCCATTGCCCAGCAGGGAAGGGGCAGCAATGTCCCGCAGGGGCGGCAGGAGGCAGGGAAAGCCTTTCCTCGGCGAGCTGAGCATTGCTGGAGAGACCGTGCCATCTAGAGCCTCCCTGGCGGTAGTGCTCGCTGCGGCTGGAGCCGCCGGCTCCTGCGAGACACAGCACGAAATCCCCTCCATCCCCCCAATAATATTTGGCATATGCATCCCTGCCGGAGCGGTGCAGCAGCAGGGGCTGGAAATCACACCCCAATCTTTCTGGTAGCAGAGCCCACGCACTAATCCTGTGGTGTTTTGCCGGGTTGACGAACAAAAGCACCACATCTGTATGGCAGGTATGTCCCCAGATGCTGATGAGTCCCTGGACCTCAGCACGGGGCTGATGGACCAGACCCTGGGACATGCACCCACTGGCACCATCCTACTTATGGGGTGAGTGGTAGATTTTGACAGCTTGAGGATACCTGTTCATCAGAGGCACTTTCCAATATGTGGCTTGAGGTAATTAATTCATGCAAAGCCCTGGAAGTTCCAGATGCCAGCAGCAAGGGCAAGCATTTATTTTTGGGTTGAGTGCTTTCATGGAGTTTCCTCAAGCCCAGTGCCAGAGGCAGCCTTGAGGCCATGTTTCTGAGTTTATTCTGCTAACCTCCACAACAACAACAACAACAACAACAACAACAACAAAAGGAAAAAAAATCCCCTGAGGATGAAAAAGATGCTCTGAAAATGAGTTCAAAATTCTCACGCAAGCACTGACTCCATCCATATTTCTGTCTCTTCACCCTTGTGGCTTTTATTTGCATCCCTTGGGGGAAATCCTCCCGTGAGATTAGAAGGGCTGGAGGCTGAGCACACACCAGGGCACCTTAAGGAGAGCTTAGTCTTTCCAGGTCCTGCTACTCCCCATACCCCAGAAACACAGCAGTTTGGCTTGGTAGGAGCAGACTTACACCAGGTCATGGAAGTTGTTGATGTAGGCAACAAGATAGGGCACAAAGATGGGGCTGTCCTGGGCAGTGCTCCACGCCATGAACTCCTGCTCAAACCTGTAGGAAAATACACCAGGTAACACTAATGGTGGGGCACTGAGGATGCCTCATTTGTGTACATGGTGGTGTCAGGAGATACCCGTGGCTGGCCCAACCCGTCTCCTCTGTATGCAGACAAGTTTTCTCCAGTTGTCATAACAAGTGTGTGCAGTGGAGGGAGTAGATGGCAGATAATTTTGGGTTTAGGGTGTGCTCGCCTGAGCAGGTACACAGCACTTTTGGAGAGATGCCAGGGATGTTGGGAAGCCAAATCTCTGACTTTTCATCATGCTGAGGGATTAATTGCAGGTGTGGTACACAGGCTTATAAGTCTGAGCTTTCATTTTACTGGCTTTTGGGGCAATATATTATGTGCCTTTTGAGAACACAGGGCTGATTTTGTAAGATAAAATGTATAGGAATAGGGCAGCACACCTACCTTCCCTCCCCTCCAAAACCTCAGTGTGGTTGTTAGGTAGTTATTTTTAGTGTAGCACCAATTTCATGGGGTTGACAGCTGTTTCACAGCCCCATCCATGCTGAAGGGAGGAGGCTGTGTGCTCAGGCAGGCTTTGCCTGCTAGTCCCATTCTTTGTCAGGGTAAAGGAACCTGCTTGAGCTGGCACCAGCCACTTGCATCTCAGGATTGTTTAAGAAAAAGCTTAAGTGTCAGTGTTCCCTTATTCTGAGAGCCCTATCTGCTCCAGCTTTCATTTTACACAGTTTTGGGGAATTTTTTTTAAACAATTAAAAAAGAAAGAAAAAAATTAATTAAAAAAATAGAAAAGAGAACAGAGAAAAAGAAAAGGAGAACAAAGAAAAAAACAAAAACATAATTTCAGCAATTTCCTTTGGACACTGGGTAAATTTTAAGGGACTCAGGAGGCAGCCCAGCTGTGTGTTTTGCCAGGGTATAGCAGAGAGGGTCTCATCAGCCATTTTTTATGCCCATAGCCATGGGATGCCAGAGCAAACCACTCAGCAGGACTCATCACAGGATACCTAAATTATGTTTTGGGCAAACAGGCTTTTGGTCTGAGGGATCCATAAATACTGCTTGTTTATGACTGAACTGCAAGTGACCAGTATCCAATGTCAAAAGTCCTGGGTGGATGGGATCACTGCAGTGATCCTATCCCTTTCCAGATAGCAGCTACTTCCCAGACCTCTGACATTAGATTTTTGATTTCAGAGTCCTATCTGGGCCTGTTTATGCCTCCCTCCAAGTTGTTTTGCAGCTTGCTATTTACTGAGCTCATTGTGATCTCTAATTCTCCCAGGAGCAGCCTTGTGCTTGCTCAGTGCCAGTGTCTGGTCCAGTGCTTGGACCTTTCCCCTGTTTTGTTACCAGTGTGGGACTCATTTAGAAAGAAAGTGTTGCCCAGATAAGTGATGACCTTGGTATGAATTCAAGGAGCTCTGCCATGCACAACTCAAGCATTTTTGTTTCCAGGCTTCTGCTGATAGCTCCAGATAACTTCACGTGCTCCCCGATGATCTAGAAAAGGGAATGAAGAAACCCCAGTGAGTGGGACAAGCACTGGTGAAACATCCTTCACAAGGATCTCATGCAGCTTTGGCTGGTAAGAACAGTTCATTTAGCAAAGGGGCAAACAGCCAACTTGTTGCCAGGAGGTTTTCATTAATCTCTGGCAGTTTGAAAAATTATAATGCAGAATGGGCCAAGAAGCACCAAATGATTTGTGATGTAATTATCTACCCCAATGGCCTCATGCCCTTCTACTGTCTGAGTGTGAGTTAGAGGCAGTGTTGACTGGAACTCTGGGGTGTCCTGGTGAAATCCATCTCTTTTGGGGGAAATTGCTGGAATTCCCCTAAGCCAAAGCCCAAGGAGAGCTGAGCTGTCCCCGTGTATGACCCCCATGATAAGGATGACTATAAGCCCCATCCCTGAGGGCCCACACAAGCCCCTTTCTCAGGAGTGATACCAGGGCAGCACAGAGGGTCAGGCATCACCCTGAACTCTTGTTTGCAATGGAACTCCTCCAAAATTCCCATTCCCACAACCTCAGCTGCACTTCTGGACTGAGGTGTATTGCAGTCCTACTCTGGTACTTCCCATGGCTTCCTATCCATCTGCTAAATCAGTTCAGACCTGCCTTCCCTGTGATCACATAATGTGTCATATTCCTCTATGGAAAAAAAAAAAAAGTCACACCAGCAGGCAAAACTCTTTGATTTTCTTTCTTTCTCTCTCACTTTCTTTTTCTGTTAGTATTATTTAATTAAGTGACTCAACCAATTGAGTGATGAGAATTAATCCAAACCCCTCCTGCCTTTATTACCCTGTAGTCCCTAAAGCTAGTAGGAGCTTTTGTTTTTTGTACTGTTTAAATTGGAGTGGCTGTCACTGCCTACAGCCTTTCCCCAGCTTCCATAGCCCTGGGACAAAGTTGCTCTTTAAGCCAAAGGTTTTTTTCAAAGAAACCTTTTCTTTCCACCTTTTTTCCAATTCTCTTTCTTCTTCCTAATCAAAGAGGTTTAGGGACTTTAAAATCAGTTGCCTATTATGTTGCTGACACAATTGACAGCAGGTTTAATTTGCAGCTAGAAGGCAAGCGGCAGAGCTAAAAGTTGTAATAAACGGCATTTTCTGCTCTAATGTATTCTGCCAGTGTGTGACTTACATAAATTATCGCAGGAGGCGGTACCTCCACCCCAGAAGGAAAAGATCCAGTTTCCCTGGAGCCACACAGACACCCCCCCCCCCCCCCCCCCCCCCAACTTTCCCCCAGCTAATTAAATACCGTTTGAATATCTAAAGAGAGTGAGGCGTGGTAGAGGTTTTCCTTCTCTTCTAAATGCACTTCCTTCTCCCACTTTTCCGTGACCTCTAGTTTCAGGATGTTTCCAAAATAACTTTTGATTTTCCCCTAAATGTTAAACATAGAAAGGAAACATGCAGCTCAGGATAACGAAGCAAACACAAGTGCAGCACTCGCTGCTTTTTGCTCCATCAGCACGGCGTGGAAAGGGGAGCAGAGTCACAGACCTTGCTCCAGACCTCAGGAGAAATGGGGAGCTGTGCTCTGTGTGTGCAAGGTACTCCCAAATCAAAGGGGAGTTGCTTTCCTGGCAGGGAAACGGTGGGTCAGCTGTTTGTTTGATTGCAAAATCCTCCAGCACATGGAATGCACCAGGTCAGGATTAATGATCAAACCAGTCCTTTCCAGGGTACAGCCAGTCAAGTAAGCAGCAGCACTGCTCAGTCCTGGCTGATAAATCAATCTTGTTGCTGGTGAAACAAAGTGATCTTTCCCCAGCACGGTGGAGCAATACTGATTTCATTCAGCTGAGTACCTTGAGCTCACCTTGAGCTGTGCCCTGATTCAGAATTGATTTGCAAGAAAATGTCTGAGCCCAGCAAAGAGCCAGGAAAGTCTTACACAGAGTGCCAGACAAGGACTGCAGAAAGACAACAGGGAACTGGCTTCATCAGCAGACACAAACCATGAGTGTGTCCTCTGGTGGGGATGCCCAAAGTCTGCCAGTAGCACACCTCAGCTGGGCTGGAGGAGATCCCACACAGGGACAGTTGCTGCTAAAATGCCTTTGCCCCTGACTTTGCAATGTGTACAGTCTGCTGAAGCCCAGTGAGGACCTTTCAGTAAATGATACTTGATTGATTACTTGATTCTGCCATACTGAGTGGAACTGGTGCATTCCTGTTGGCTCTGCTTGGGTCCCCACGGTGGTATTCAGGAATTTTTTGCTTTCAAGTAGAGGCTACTGTGTTGGGCCAGTAGGACTCAGCACGTGGTGGGGCTGGAAACCACAATGTAGTCATCCAAGACCTCTGTCTGGGAGGCTGGGGCTCCTGTTCCTTCCCTGGGGGGCATGTGGGGACTAAGTCAAAACTCTCACCTTTGCAGAAGCGATGTAGTCATTTTTCAGTTTATCCCAATCAGCTGGTGTTAACAGCAAGGACAGATTTTCTGTCTTAACCTCTGGTTTGAGCTGAGGATGGCCCAGAAAGAGTTCACTGGAAAGAATCAAATGAAAAAATTATAATGCCTCAGAGTGTGAATAAACTGATGGAATATTCATGCAGCATGAGCTACATAATTACTAAGCCATGAGAAATATACTTAAAGCTTAAATTGTGCTGCTTGTTTTCAAGGTTTAACAAGAAAATCTTTCCTTTCTATTCAAAATCCTAATTATTCAAACCCAAAATGATCTAAGGTTCCAGCCCACTTCAGAAATCATGAGACTTCTGAGTTGTTTGGACATGAAAAGTGCTATGAGAATTTACTTTTTAAAATAAACAACGTGAAGCTGATTCATTCGACTAGAGGCTTGCAAAATGCCTTTCAGGGTAATTCCTGTAGTAGCGTGTTGCTTTGGAGTTAGCCCATCTCCCTGCCTCCTCTGCAGTGTCATATCACAGCTCATGTCGGCCTGTGATTTGTCACTGCATTATTCTGATCCAGGGGAGGTGGCAGAGCAGGACCTGGAAGGCACTCCCATGCCTGGGACACGAGCCATGTTCCCCTGCAGATGGAAGTGGTGGGTGGATGTGCAGCTACAGAGTCTGACTCCAAAAGGGCTCAGCTGACACAAGACTTTGCTGCTGTCTTTCCTCTGGACTGACATGTAATCAGGCCAGCTGATTAGCACAGAAGCAGGGGAAGGGAGGGAGTGCCTGTGTTCCTCTCTCTGGGGCAGGAAAAATGTTATTAGCCTGCACAATTGAACGTGCTACTCCTGCGACCTGCCACAGACTGAGGCACTGCATTTTGCAGGGCAGTGAAAGTGGAAAAGAGAAAGAAGAAAATTCACGCCCTTGATGAAAGTGGGGCCTAAGTTTTGAGCTGTCTTCTTGTTAATCGAGGAACACAGCTGCAATGTCCTACACACAGCCTGAGTATTTGCTCAGCCACCAAAAAGGGTTCCCATTGCCACACCAGCACTGCACCCACAGTTAGGTTCAGATACAAGTGAGGACTGTAGTGTACAAGGTCAGGCTGCTGCAGAGTGGCTGCTCAGCATTAAATAAGTTCAGCCTGCTGATGTCCTGGAGTCAATACTTCCATGGTCATGGTTCAGATTTCCCAGAAAGGAACATCTCCACACGTGGAGCATTGCACAACCCAGCTGCTGCCAGAACCTGCTGCTCATTCTAAAGGAGAACACAGATTTAAATACGAACTCTCCACCACTGAAAGGACAAATGTGTATTCAAGGGGATTATTCCCACCTCTTTTTTTTTTAATTTTTTTTTATTTGAATTGTAACATCAATCATGAGTTTGTGTCAGTCAATCTCTTCCTTTTTGATTATTTATTCCAAGAGACAATTAAGTTTTTTTGACTAGGAAAATCAAATAGAAACGGCCCAGAACAGCCAGGTGATTGCAAGCAGTACCCAAAACAACTGCAAACTCTCAATAAACCCTTTCAACAGCAATTTAGAGAAATATGACAGGGGCACTTTTCTTTGGTACAGAATCTGGCTGCTGAAGCTCATTTCTTTCCTTGCTCTCCTGCCAGGGTGGGGCCATGCAGGAATTTCCCTTCAGATGAGATCTGCAGGGATTTGTGATGCTGAGGGGGTTACATACATCATTATGATCACCAAATTCTAGGTGGGATTTTAAGAGCAACTGGATTAAGTTCACAGAAGAAACCTCTTGAGGGCTGTTCAAAACAAAGACCACCTGCAATCGAAATGTTTCTTACCCAAAAGCTGCCCCAGGCTAGAGATGTTCTGGGCAACAGTGTGCTGCTGCTTGCCCTGCTCTGTCACTGCCTCCTTTCTTACAATTTTGACCCACTGTTTGGCTCAATGCTGATGCTCCTGCCTTCTTCCTTGTTTTATTTGAGGGCTGCCAATGGGTTTGTGTTTCTCCCTTCCTTGAACATCTGGTTCAGGCTATACCTGAAGGCCAGCTACCAGGACAGACACAATTTTGCTTTGACAGAACTGTTTTCACATGCTTATTTTCCAGACCTCTGAACTGCAAGGAGCTATGTCTTAAACCTCTCCCATTCAACCAGCAGACACATCTGAGACAGAGCCTTTGTTTTCATGTGTCTAATTACACCTAATGATGTCTTGACTCCTCTTTTAGAGGACTCTGACCTCATGCATGGGGGTTAACATGGCCCATTTCCAAATGCATCACATTTTTAATTAAGCAGGAAGATCTCCCCCACAGGCCCCTGCCTGTGCCTGGAAAAGTCACTGAACAGCTGTTGGATCTTGCAAAATAAATGCAGAAAGGAGCAGGTTTATCAAATGCAGGGAGGAGCTTCCTGGCATGTAGAAGCAACAAGTGAGAGAGGGAGGGGAAAATGGGTCGATGTAGATCTGTAAAAAGCAGCAAGTGCTTTATCCACAGACCTTTGTCCCCACCTATTAACAGATTTGCTATCTGGTTCCACTGTAGTCATTGCATCTTGCTTACTTGCTTGGAAAACTGAGAATAGCCTGGTGCTTTTGGAGTACCCCACAGCCCCATGGCTCCCTGGAGGAGGCAGAGGCATTGTGGCAAACACAGCAGCTCACCTCTGGTAGGTGTTGGCCACCCAGTCAAGCAAAGTGTAGAGCTCATGGAAATCCAGTGGTCCTTGAGAGAGTTCTTGCAAATGTGAGGCAATGGCATTGTGAAAAGCTTCCACATATGTGTCACACACCTGATACTCCTCTGGATAGCATTTTTTTACTGATGACTTGATTTTCAGTAAATCTTCCCTCAGGTGTTCCTGGAGGAAATGTAAGTGGAGATCAAGCCAAGAAGTTGCTTCTTCCCTTGATGCCATGGGTACCTTCAGGACTCTTTTTCTTGCACTCTCATTGATAGCTTCCCTCCATTGCTCCCTCCACTTTCTGGGCCTCCCAAGCAAATCTGACCCAGGACGAGCAGCACTGTCTGTGCTGGAATGAGCTGCTTCTTCAAGGGCAATTAAAGTCACCATGGAGGTGAGCATGGTATGCTGTAAAGTGGGATCCTCCAGTGTTCCCTCCACTATGGACTTGATTGCATTTGTGATGGAGCTGTAAAGCAAATCCACATCCTTGGATTTCCGTACGAGCTCCTGGGGGTTATCGCTGTATTTCTCAGAATCCCGTTCAGAGATAGTCTCATCTTCCATTAACTTGATACTTGCAAATGCTTCCAAAAGTTGTCTTTTTTGAATAAGTTCATTGATTTCCATTACTGCAGAAACAGGGGAAAGGGGTTAGGACAAAGCAGGCATTAGGCTATTGACAGGTTGGTAACAGGACAAGATGCCTGACAGGGAGGCTTGCAGGGGGCAGTTCAGTGTAGTCAGGTATCAGCAGTGCCTCTGAGACTGCCACTGGGCCTCCCTGATCTCTCCAGCTCCTATTTGACACAGGAGAGGAAAACAGTGGGAAAGCAATTGCTGCAAATTGAGCCACATCCCTAAACAGCTGGTTACAGAGACAGGAAATTTCAAAAAACCTGCTGATGGCTCTGCAGGAAGGCCTCAAGCAATGGCTGGAGGCTGCATAAAACCCTGCCTCTCTGGCTCTGCCCCTCTGCTGGTGTGGAGATGAGGTGGAACTGGCAGCAGCAATGGTTCAGGATATACCTTACCAGCAGGATTTCCTTTAGCATGGGTGTCCTTGTTTCCCTGCAGACCACTGTGCTCAGCACAGCTCTGCTGCTGTGTTTGCCATGGTGGTGTAGCCCAGCTCAGGCATGTCTGGCTGAAAGGGCATTTCAGTGTGCTGCCCAAGAGGGCAGGGAAGGGTGCACAGGGTTCTGGCAGAGGCAGTGGGAGGACAAACCCCTTTGGGTGTCCTGAACTCTTGGGTCAGATCTCTCTCAGTGGTTATGTGTGTCCCAGCCTACTCACAAGCATGTCCTCAGAGATACCAGGGCCTGAGAGCCTCCTGTCTGTAAGCCCACAGTCAGGTGCCAAGCACAGCCTCACACCAGTGATGTTTTTTTCCCAAGTGCTGAGCACTGCTGTCCCTCAGTGGTCTGGGGAGGTTGTGAGCATTGTAGGGGCATCTAAACCTGTGGATTTGTGGTGCTCCTGGTACTCAAGTCTCACATGGGTTTCTCCACCTCCTTTTCTTTTGGCACCCACTGCCAGAACAGGCTGGTGTTGGCTGAGGGGAAGTCACACAATACTGTTCCTCCCAAAGTGGCTGAGGTCTACTGAGTTTCCCACTTGTTTTGCAAAGTCTTTCTCATGCAAGAACCACTGCTTACTTGCCAGTAAGATAAGAAGTATTTGCCATGTGCTGAGAAGATCCAAGAACACTGTTAGCTTTTGAGAGACCCCAGGAAGCTCTCACCCTCTCCATCTCCCTAACAGATGCTTTGATCCCACTCTGACACTGGGCAAAAGAAAAAAACTAAAGAGAAGGGAAAGAGTATCCCTTGGGCATGTGTGGCCACTGCTTCTGCGACATACACATACAAAATGATACAGAAAAATTGGAGAGCACTCAAAGAAGGACTGGTTCATAGCACATCATTTCTGCCCTTAGGCTTGTCTGCACACAGGCTTTATGCCATATGTACCAAGTAATCTTTGTAGCACAAGAGTATCTACATGAAGACAGAAATATGCCAAATAGCCGAACTATTGATGCATCACAGAAAACATAGATCTTTGAGTGCCTATATGGTGCTACAGTTGCTTCTGCACTCAGAAAGGAGGGAAATTCTACCAATTAACTTAGTCTCTTCTAGATAAATTAATATAAAACCTGTGTTTACACAAATGCTTGCAGTGAGAGACTAGAGAAATACATTCTGTTCTGTTTATCAAAGTGAGGAAACACTGTTTAATCACCATCTAGGCTAATTGTTCAGGGAGGTAATGTTGGTGCTAAATGGAACTTTAATTCAGCAATACAAGATCAGCCAGCTGGTGGTTGAAGGAAGACAATTGAAAGGCAATTAACTATTATGCAGCTTAATAGTGCACATGGTGGAATCTCCACCACTTGCCATATTATCTCAGGGTGGGACGTGTTTCTGGCAGAGCTGCTCTAGTCCAGGCCAAACACAAGCTACTGGGCAGAGAATGGGCCTTACTCGTGCCATTTCTCAGCTCATTTATTTCAGGAGATCAGAAAGCTTGTGGTAACATTTTCTGCCACTCCTCATCTCTGACCCTTGGAGATCTGACTAGCAAAGTTTATAAGATTGGCTCAGACCCACAATGTGTAAATGTAAAGCAGTAAATCACTTCCCAGCACAGTAGAGCATTACAGCAGTGAGGCAGTGTCAGCCCATGTATCTGATCCCTAGGGTACTGTGGCACCCTATGCAGTACACCGAGAATTTATTTCTAGAAATTTAGGCTGAGGAAAGGCCAAGTCATGTTTCACCTCAGTCTATCTCCAGGTAAATGCATTGTAGCACCTCTGCCTTGAGAGGGTGGAGGACAGCAGTGCTCAAACCATTAGCAAATTCATTGCAGTCTGCTCACACCTGGGGGAAGGTGAGAGCTGTGCTAAAGGGAATTGTTATAATTTTTCTGAGACCTATCTATAAAATTCTGACAAAACATATGAGAGTAACCAGCCTGAGGAAGATAAAAATCAAATATTTGCAACACTGCTGTTGTGAGGACAGGTGGAAAGTCCATGCAAGAAAGCAAAATATCTGTGGAAGTCTCTTTGCAAGGCAGTCTCTAAGATTAGGAAGCAAAGTGGAGCTTCCAAGCCAAATCATAGTCAAGCCATCTTTCTTTCCCTCTAGGCCTTGCAGCACCCTACAGAGCACAGTTGGAGGACCATCAGTCTGAGAACTGAGGAGCAGAAATTGTCCAGGACAGCAATGAAGGCAATAGGACACTGCCCTTGTAAGTATTGTCAGGCCAGCAGTTCCCAAACTGTGCTCAGCAGCTTCATGACTGATTTGTGTGATGGGCAATATCACACTGACAGGTTGATAGGTTGGCTGCTGATATGGCTAAACTAACACAGAGAAGGCCACAGAGCAGCATGTTCAGTGACAGAGCCTTGCCCAGGCTGGGCCAGGTAACACCCAGCCAGGGGTGCCCAGTTCTTTAGGACCTCTCTTGGGCCCAAGCCTTGCACACTGTAAATTAATGTCACATTTATCCTGCCAGGAACATGGGGCTGCTGGTTTTGTGTCTTACCTGAAAGAGGCTTTGCTTCAATAGGCTCACATATTTCACCAGCCTTCTCCACGCTATTGCAGATCGTGGGTTTGTTCTCCTCATAGCTCCTGAGTGTTTGCAGAATTCTTTTTGCATTCCAAGTGCCTGTATCTTCCTTCCCTCTCTCTTTTTTCAGACTTCGTTTTGATTTCCGGATGCTTAACATTGTTTTAATACCTCTTTCAAAGAACCCACTGTCCCTGCTCTGCACATCTGAGCTGCTCAGTTCAGAAGTAACCTCCATCTTTTCTTCCCCTGGGCTGTTCAGTGGAGAGGCTGGTTCTGAGGTCACACTCCTGGTGTCTAACTCCATATATCTATTTATCTGGTCTTTCAACAGGAGGTTTACCAAACTGGTTGATGGCAATCACTGAAATGCATAAAACAGCAGAATTAGAGATGTCATTAACAAGGTATTACTGTGTCTCCAATGTCGGTCCTGGACTGAAAATCTGACCCATTCTTTCCTGTGCCTAAATAAAAGCACAGAGCAAGATGTTGCAGCCTGTAGCTGCTGAAACAATTTCTCTACCCACAGACAGCAGATGCTGGCCTGCACCTGGTGCTCTGGAAAGCTCCACTTAACTCCATAAAACAGTGGCAACTATTTCTCCAGCACCGAGGAATCATGAGATATCAGAGATGTTGAAACCTGTGTAAACATACCATTTCAGTGGGTAAGCAGATATGGTTTTACTTTTCATTCTTCTAAGTGGATTTCCAGCCAGGCAGGAATAATAATCTTCCTGAATCACACTGGGTTGTTTCCACTTTCTGATGTGAATATGGCATCTTTGGGTTTTGTTGCTACTTCTGCCCTGCTCAAACCCTGAGCTGCTGCTGCTGGAGGTGGGCCAGGGGTGAGTGGTTCCCAGCAGGTGGCTGAACTCTGCTCTAGCCCCTTCCACCAAACCACAGCTGTCTCTGCACTCTGAATCGTCATGGTTACAGCACAGGAGGCAGTACAAGGCAGGAAGGGCTCACAACACTCATCCTGCCTCAGAGCACTGCATTCCAGTATGCCAAGGATGGGTATCTCCAGGGTCAAACAAACTCTGCACAAACCACAGGGGATGCTGCAGGAGATTCCAGGTTTTGGCAGAAGTGCTCCTGTCAGTGCTGCTGGGCTGCAGTCACAGCCTCTGAATTTGCTCAGCTCCTGCCCTGCTGCAGACAAATTCCCCTCTGCCCATCCTGAGAGCTGCCCAGATGTTTGGGAAGAGGGAAGAGAGAGGTTTTGCCATCCCTTCCTTGCAAAGGGCTCCCATGAGACCACCAGCTGATACAGCCCATTCACAGAGCTATTGTACATTGCAGTGCCCTGAGGATGGAAAATGCCACATTTCTCCAGAGCAGGCTTAAGGCAGCCGAGAGAACAGTTCAAATGAATAGAAACAGCTATTGCTTGAGGTGACACAGGAACTGCCTGTCTTGGGTCTGTCCAGCCTGCAGAAGCCAGGGATTGAAAAATAATTGCAGTCAATAGACATGTTGGGACTCTGGAGATAGATCTCATCCTTCCTCAGTCAGAGTTTTGCTCCCTTGGGCATGGTTATTTCACAGGCTGTGAAGTGCAGGCATGACATCTTCCAATGGGTTTGCTGAGCTGCTCAGATCCTGCCTCACACACTCTCATGGGAGGGAGTATTTAACCATTCATTGCCTTGCTTAGGAGCTCACCCATCACAGCCCAGACAGAGGGTGGGAGGGAGAGGAGTGAAATCCCCACTGCCCAGGGATTTCAGTGAAAGGAGGCTGAGATCTCAGCTCAGACTCAGCATGGGGGTTCTGCAGACAGAGCAGAGCGGCAGCAATGCCAAAGGTGTGACCGACATGGAGGAGAGAGCCAGGGGAAAAGGAATAAAAGGTGTGAGCCCATGAGGAAGGAAAGGAATACATACCCCAGTACTGACAGAAGTGATCCCTCCACAGCAAGCTGGGATAGCACAGGTGTGACCCACAGAAGCTGAGAGCAGCTCCGTGCCGCAGGAAATCCAGCGTGGGTGCAGTGGAGGTGAGCAGCTCTGCAGGATGGAGCTCCGGGCCAGCTCACCCACCTCAGTGAGTAGGGCACCACCCCTCACCATGCGCTGGCCAAGGGGCTCCCTCTGGGAATGGTGCTGCTCTCCATCCTCCTTTACCCTCTGAAAAAGGCTGTTAAAAGTGGAAAAAAAGGCCTGTCTGCTCCTGCCCAAGAGCTCCAGCACCTTCACTTGTTTGATCTCTGGAAAAGACTCAGCACTCTTTCACTTTCACTACGTCTGAGCATTTAAAAGAAGAGGTGGGGGGAAAAAAATCTAGGTTAATTATTACCCTGCAAATGGAGATGAGGCCTCGAACCAGAAGTACTATGGTGGGAGGAGCAGTTGCCTTGAGATGGCATGGGGCAATGAAAGGAAGGAGGATTTCAGGATGAAGTTCTGTCCTGATAGGCTAAAGCCCCACATTATTTGGGTAGGGGTGCTCAAAAGAAGCCCCAGAGCTGCATTTAACCTCCTTCTGCCCTGTATCTGCAGGTCACGGGTGGCTTGGTCCCAGTAATGATTGCCAGACGTGGGTGAGGGACAGCAAGTAATGTGTCCCCTTGTTAAATATTTATATATATTCACATCCTCACTTTGCCCTGTGGGCACTTATTTCCATGGGGTTGTTAGTCCTGGATCCCTGCATTCTCAGAGCAATTGGAACCACGGAGGGAACTCAAAGCAAAAGAGCATGAAAAAAGGGGCCTTGAAGGTTTAAATAACATTAAACACAGTCACTTGATTTGTTGTGTAAAATGATTTTACCCTGGGGCTCCTTCAGTGCCAGATAGAAACAAGTCGGGCTGCCAGGTGTCCAAGGTCCTGATGTAAAGCAAGAGGGGTAAATCAGGAGGTGCCACCATGCCATGGGCACTGTGCATTTCTTTGCTTTAGGAGCCTGCCAGCATGTCACCTGTCAGTGTGATAAGGGACATCAAATGGGTTAGTGATGGATAGAGGCAATAAATGACATTTGGACTTTGTGCTGTGCCGAGGAGAATAGAGGGAGATAACGGAGGCTAACAGCCTCCTCTACCTCTGGGAGAGACTGTGTGTCCAGGAGATGGAAAATCTGTAGGATGGGAATAATTATGTTCATATTAAACAGAGAAGCGTGGCAGCATGGGCTTGGTGTGAAATTGCTGTGATGGTGAGATGGGGCTGGGCAGAGCATTGTTTGTGGCTGCCCCATGGTGCAGGGGGAGTCCTGCCTGAAGCCTCCCTCAGCCAGGCAGTGCAGTGCTGAGCTTTCTGTCCTTGGGTTCTTCAAAGTCGTGTGTAAGCCAGACACTGCCCTCCTCTACTGGGGAAAACCATTACTGGCAATGCTTCTGCCACCTGGCAGGCTGACAGTGTGAACAAAGGAATGAGCTATTTATTCAGACACAGGTTGAGGGGTGGAAAGCCCCTTTGGACACAAAGTCACATTAAACCTCTTTCCAGCTAGGTTTTAATTGCCTCATCCACAAAATATTTACATAGTGTTGGTTTGTACAGACAGGCACACTGTGACTGGCATGCTGCCAGAGCAGGCAGCAGGTCCAGCATGGATGGGGTCTGATCTGGGCCTCTCTGGGGGCTGTCAACTACCCAAAGACACAGCTTAGCACCAGGACCTGCTGAGAGGTCAAACAGAATCCCGAGGGAGCTCTGAATCTCACAGTCTAGCTCACCTCTTTACCTACAAGCCTTTCTGGTGCTCTCTCCTAGCAGCATCTCTCAAGGAATGCTCCTGTTCCTGGAAATGCTGTTTCTAGGTGTCCATCCACAGAAGATCATAGGAAATGAAAAATGTGCTAGGTTTTACTGTTGGTTTCCATTTTTCTTCAATTATTGCTTTTGCAAAGTGTTCTGTTAAATTGTAGATGCGTTAAAATCTGTAGGGGTGTTGCTGTCTAACAGCTCCCTACTGGGCTCCCTAATGACCTGCACCCACAAACCTCTGTGAGGCTTTCAACTGCTGCTTTGCCTCCTGACCCTTTGGAATATTTGGTTTAGGGTTTATCTGATCCCTCATCTCTTCTCTGTGTCTTTTGCTCATATTTGTTTTCCTCTTTCTTATTTCTTTTCCTGCAATAACACCTGTGGAACCGTGTAGGACTCCAGAGGTGCAGTGCTCCTTGGCAGAGGTGAGGGGCACAGAGAGTGTTTGGGGGAGTCCTGCAATTCCCTCCACAGCACCGAGGTTTTCATCAGCTCCAAAGACCAGGAGAAAAACATACTGCTCCAAGAGAATACTGTTTCAGTGCATATTCAGAAAGCTGCACCACATGCCCTGTCACAGCCTCAGCAACCCAAATGGCACAGCCCTGGTGAGGCATGCTGTGACCCACTCCTTTCCTGCAGGTTTCACTTGAAATCTCACCCTGTGTGGGTGGAGGAGACCCCAGAGCTGCAGAGATTTATTGCAGCAGTGAGGCTTGATATTTTTAACAGCATTGGCAATGATGGATGAGGCAAAGACATGCTCAGAGGCTGCACATGCCTGTGCAGCATTTCCTCCTGAGGGGTGGTTTGCAGGGAAATGAGAGATATTGTTTCACCTGAAATATTTTTATTTCTGCTTTTAGGTTGAGGGAGCTTTGAGCCTTAAGCTGAAAAGTCCATTTGCAGGAAAAAAGCAGGTTGTGATTTAGAGGCTGGCTTTTACAGAAGGGATGCTGGCCCCCAGGTTTGAGTGGGAGAACTTGGAAGGTGCATTTCTGCAAAACATAGGAGTGTTACCACATCTGGGGGAGGATGTGGTCCAGACCTAAGGATAGTTCCCTACACTGTTCCTGTGTAGCCATGGGAGGAGACCACTTGAACTAGTATATATCACACCAGGGAACAAACTCACAAGTGCTCATTTTGTTGCAGAAAGGTAGCCCAGGAGGATTTTCCATGAGGGCTGCCACTGCTGTGGATGTCCATCCTAGGTGCTTTTGAAGGATAGACACCAAAGTTTTCCTTTCTCTCCTCCTAGAAAAGGCCTGTTCAAGCAGGATCTCTCACACTGGTTTTCTTCTTTTGAAGTGAAATTGTTTTAACACCTTCAGCAAGCCACCAGCCCCATGTGCTATGCCAGCTGTCTGAAGCATGCCAGGACTCATGTGAGCCCAACAGGACTAGCAGGGCTAGGAGACAGGCTTCACCACTCTCCTGATTCTTGCTGCAACAGCCCTACAAGCACATTTTGCCAGCAGGCACAGACCAGCCCCCACTGGCCCCAGAGCTGCATGGTGCAGCCAGGGCCAGGGCAGTGCCTGTGTGCTCCCCCAGCCTGGCAGCAGCTCTGCTCCTAGGGATGCTCAGCTGGTTGAGCATTTCTTTCTGCTTGTTTGTGATTGCTGTGAGCTGCTGAGCAGATGGATGGCAATGGCTAATAGATGGTGCAGGTTGTGCACTCTGTAGCCCATTGGTTTGCAGTGGGCATCAGCAAGGCCGGGGTGGAGTCCACCAGCCCAGCCTCGAGACTGAAATGTCACAGCTCATTGGCTTCAGCAGTGTGTCCTACTGAGCAGGGTGCCCTCACCCCTCTCATCACAGGAGCTGCCAAACCAGAACTCAAAGAGCAGAAGCTCTTTGTGCATGACACTGACAGTGGATTATCTGTGATTGTGCTTCTGCTCTTACTTCACCCTATGCTTTGCCAAAACCCCAGCCTGCTGCCACAGCTTTTCACTGTGCTGTGACTCCACTGGCTTCAGGGTAATGGAGTCTTGATGTCCAAAAGAGCAGGGGTAACCAGCCCCATCTCCTGGAGATGGGGCATTGAACTTAACAGTGAGAATTTCCCCTTGGAGCTGGCTAAGGCTGAATGTTCCCAGTGGATAGCAGCCTTTGAGCAGGAATAAAGCCCTGCTGAGCAATTCAAGAAAAGTTAGACTACTCTGTCATTTAAATGAGGTGACTAAGAGCAGACCACTTCTGGAGCCAAGGCACCTGCCTGCTGTGCCTGTCACCACAGCTAGCTGTCTGTTGAAAATGTGTCATTGAGGCCAAGGACTGAGCTGAGAGCTCAGCACTGCCTCTGCTGCAGATGACGGGGAGATTGTTGCATAAAGTAGGAGCTTGTGCTTCTCCTTTGTGGGGTTTTGCTTTACTGCACCAAAATTTCCACTCTACAGTGCTCAAAAATTTTATCAAAGCCAAGTTAGCATTTGTTTGCCACATTGCTGCAGGACATTCTAAAGCACAAGGACCTTGAGAGAAATCAATGGAGCCTTGGGAGAAACCTCTTTGGCCTTTTCCTGGCTGAACTTTCTCCAGATTAACCCCAGGCTTGGTTTGATAGAGGGAGGAAAGGTGCAAGTTGGTTCTTATCTGAATAACACTTTGAATCCCTGGCTTTCTTCCAGTGCTGAAGGGTTCTTGTATCACACCTTTTTACTGCCCACACCAGTGTGAGCTTTGGTGTCCATAGCAATGCCCCAGGGAAGGGAGAAGCAGCTTCTACTGAACATCTCACCGGATGAAGCCTGATCTCTGGAAATCTGAATTTTCTTTACCTTTGGTGGATGGGAAAAACTGAGAACTAGTGCTTTATTTAAACATATACTTCTGTACCATTTTTTTTAAGATGAGTGTTTTTGAAGTTGCATTGAAGACGTTGTCACTGTAATCACTATATTTCTATAGAGATTATAATGACTCTTTTTGAAGAGTTACTCTCAGTCAGTCAGTGCTTAATTCACATATCAATGACTCCATAAACCCGAAACTCATAAATCTCCTGAAACTGCTCAAATCTATTGTGCTAATGAATGCTTGCAGGGGCTCATCATTGCAGAGATAATTCACTTAAGGAGCTGCCCCTATGAGAGTGGGTGGTCAGTGATGGCAGAGGGGCCTCATCTCTGTGAGGCAGCTGAAGCTTTTTATAACCCAGCCACACTCAGGATGAGCATTAGAGTCCAGACGCTCTTTTTGGTTGATTTTCTCCAGACTATTTCATGTGCAGTCCATCAGTCTGACCCTCAGAATCTTTCCCATCATATGGAGAGAGCTGAGTATCATTTCTGTGTGATGGTGGGGTGGGTGGAACCAGTTGGTGCAGAAATCATGATGTCATTTTGTTCAGAGTGAACTGGTTAAGCCATAGCTGGTTATTAAACCAACAAAGGCAGTAGCTCCTAACCAGTTATTAGAGTGTTTGCAAACCCTTGCTCCTGCTGCTGCAAAACACTGAGCGCCTCTTCTGGCTGGCTGGAATCTGTCTAACGACGCTATTGTAAACCAGTCCTAGGAACTTGTCCTTT